AATCTATTTAATTTCTGACTACATAAAACAATTTCTTCAGTTTTAAATTGTGAAGTAAACTCAGACGGCGTAAAATCCAAGCCGATCCCGTTCATTTTGTTTACCTTTGTTGCCTGCCAACATGGCGTCTCTGAGAGTCACGTGACGTCCGGAGCTCTATAGGCCATAATGTATTCTATTTGACGCAGTAACGTTCCACGCCCCGATGCTTCCAGTGTGCAGTAGGATTAATGGTGCTAAGCCCACCCAACATGTCAGCCGTCTGCTGAGGCTACAACGGAGTATGACTAGACCAATCTTCAGAGCTAAATCTTTCTGCTACTGCTGTGGTTTGTCTAGATTTCTAGACTCGGCACATTTCATGAGTGAGAATATTTTCAACTTGGATTGTTTTTAACTAACACATAACCTTTCATTGAAACTCTCCATGGACAAGTAAATATGCTTGCTACTGTTATTACTTTTAACCCTTTGATGCATGAATTATGAAATCTTCAACCATGATTTTTTAAACAATTTTTTTCATTCATCTTTAGGTATGAATGAAGCAAATTTCATATTTACATATTTTTTGTAACATTTAATTTACACATAGTTTATTACATGTCCACCACAGTGGACAGTGTGCAATGTGATTATGAAATATGTTGGCTTGACTTACTGAAGTCCAAATGGGGAGGCTCAAATGCAATAAAGTCTTCAACAGCTGTGCTTAATAGCAAAATTAAATAAATAAATAACAATTTTGAGTACCTGTCCACTGTAGTGACCATTATGCATCAAAGGGTTAATCAAGTTGCAAGAGTTTGCAAGAATTTGCCATTTGAGGAATCAAAAGAGGTGTGTAAGAATGCAGGTTTTAGGAATGTCTCTGTGTCTGTGAGACGAACATGAGTGAATGGCATTTAAAGAGATTCAAACTATGCAGCTTTTATGCACTGCATGATACTGAAGCCAAGGCACTTTTTGGATTACCTGAATGGTCATTTTGTCTTTTTTTCCAGTGTCCTGACAAAGGCTAACATTCACATTTCATCGGGGTCCCTTCCTTTTTGCATCATAAGGCGCCTCTGCGGAGCAATCGTTCTGGAAAAACTAAAAATGACTCTTTGCATCATTTAATAAGAAAGTATAGTTAACTGTACCTATCTCCGTAGTCTACCAACAAAATATTGACTTAAAATAGCTTCTATCCAGTTATGTTTTCTGAAAAAGATTATCACATTTCCGCAGTCTCTATGTGATGTTGCTTTGGATTTCAAAAGATCAGAAATATCAGACTCTCTTACACACAGTATGCTGCCCATACTAAGCCTCAGACATGGTTATTTCTTGCTCCAGCTATTGAAATGCTCTTTTGTTGGCCTCCCAGAACACTTCGTAAAGCGCCAACAGATGATCTACAACACAAAAGAACATATGGCGTTTAATCAGCTAAAACGGGCACGTCACTTTTTGCTCATCAAACTCTGCTCTCTACTAAAAGCTGCCAAATAAATAAATAAATAAATAAAACATTCACGGCACCACTTCTGGCTTGCTGGGACCGCATCTTCTATGTCCAGCTAGCTCATTTCCATTAAACATGCTCTCACTCCTCCTCAAAGGCCGTGTTCCTCTGAGCTGCCTGGCCACCGACCCTTCTGGGCCCGTTTCTTTGAAGGACAGAGTCGGTGTTAAGCACCTGTGACCTAGGACAATATCTTTATCGAGCCTCAACTTCAAACAATGTGAGTTACTTCAAGTTTAAGCCGAAGTGAGAATAAAAATTAAACTCTGTGTCTTTGCAGCATGTGCATCACTGTTGTCTGACTACAGCACATGTGCAGCAGTCCAGTTTACCAGCACGCACACACACACACACACACACACACACACACACACACACACACACACACACACACACACACGCATGCATGCACGCACGCACGCACGCACACACACACACACACACGCACACGCACACGCACACACACGCACACGCACACACACAAAACACAACAGGATTGCTTAATTCATGATATAACATAAAAAGATTCCGTCTGCAGAGTGCTGCTCCTTGTGCAGCCAGTGTGTCCATGTGTGCAGCAGGTTATTGCATCCGTGTGGCATGTACTCATAGGAGTCAGGACTAGCTGCAGCTTATGGTGAATGATGGTGATGCTGGTGGTTAGTGTTGAGTTTTGTTATTGATGGGATACATAATGCACTTTATTTAGTTCCCCAAATAGAAGAACATGCTGCTAACGCCAACATGCTTGACCAACACATACTTTTATTTTGCCTAATGCCAAAATCTTTTCCTGTCCTCCATCCATCCATTTTCATCCGCTTATCCGGAGTCGGGTCACGGGGGCAGCAGCCTTTGCAGGGAGGCCCAGACTTCCCTCTCCACAGCTACTTGGGCCAGCTCCTCCGGGGTAATCCCAAGGTGTTCCCTGGCCAGCCGTGAAACAGAGCCCCTCTAGCGTGTTCTGGGCCTTCCTTTGGGTCTCCTCCTGGTTGGATGTGCCTGGAAAACGTCACCGTGGAGGCGTCCAGGAGGCATCCTAACCAGATGCCCGAGCCACCTCAACTGGCACCTCTTGATGTGGAGGAGCAGCAGGCCTACTCCTCCCGGGTGAACAAGCTTCTCACCCTATCTCTCAGGGAGAGCCCAGACACCCTGCTGAGAAAACTCATTTTGGCCGCATGAATCTGTGATCTTATCCTTTCTGCTACTACCCAAAGCTCATGACCAAAGGTGAGGGTAGGAACCTAGACTGACCAGTAAATTGAGAGCCTCACCTTCCAGCTCAGCTCTCTCTTCACCACAACAGACCGGTACAATGCCCGCATCACTGCAGACGCAGCACCAATCCAGCTGTCGATCTTGCGCTCCAGCTTTCACTCACTCATAAAAAAAAAACCCTGAGATACTTCAACTCCTCCTCTTGAGTCAGGACCTCATCCCTGACCCAGAGAAGGCCTTCTACCCTTTTCCGATTCAAGCCGATACCAATGTCCCTGTCCTGAAGCTTGAATGTCTTTCATTACTTAAAAGTCTCCTTGGATAAAAGCTTCTGCAGAATAATTAATTGTAAATATAAATATTACATCTAAACTCAGTTACAAAGACACACATTGACACTGGAAAGGCTTCGGCTGTTTAAACACTAAAAAGCAGGATTTAAAAGTGACTTTTAATTGCTTCATTAACGTGTTTCCATAGAGAATCGACTCTAACAGCTGCTTTAGTAAAAAAAATCACCTTTAAATGGTTTGAAGCCGTTTTTCCAAACATAGCAAAGACCTTTTTATTAATGTCTTTTCACAAAGTCTGTCACAACTATCACTACTTCCACTTAATTAAGTGCGTGGGACGTTTTAGCTTCAGCGTCTTCATTTTCTTACGTCCTCAAATTATGAGTCCAACAAGGAAAAAGTCAAGTCATGCATCAAATAGTGCAGAGAACTAAACAGAAATGAGAGAACATGATAAAAAACTGTCATGCTCTGTGCTGAACTAACCTTCTTTGTCTGAGGCCTAGTCCACACATAGCCAGGTTTTTTTTAAAAACGAATATCCGCCCCTTCAAAAGCTTGCATCCACACCACCGCGTTTTAAAACAAAACTCTGTCCACACGTACCCGGACAAATACGTTGTTAAGGACATGCCAGGCCTGTAGGCGGCAGTACTTCCCCGTTCTTAACCTCTTCCTTCGTCTGTGGTCTTCCGCAAGGAGCAGTAATTCCGCTTGCAAAAACAAACAAGCAAAAAGCGCTTGGACAATTGATAAAGTGAGCGCAGCTCTGAGGGCATCCATGCTGTCGGCTAGTGTAAACACAGGTCGCACACGTGATGTCAGCATTTTTTTGTCGCGGAAAGTGACGTTGCAGACCTTAAAGCACCGGTTTTGTCTGTCCACACGCAGACACCCAAAACGGAGAAGACGCAGATCTTCACTTTGGCCGGAGTTTTTAAAAAGATCCGTTTTCGTGTGAAAAAACTCCGTTTTCGTGTGGATGACAGGCCAAAACGTAGAAAAATATCTCTGTTTTGGCAGATCCCCGGCTACGTGTGGACAGGGCCTGAGCTTTGTTAGCAGGTGGGTGTGACTGGAGAGCTCAGCTGTCTCAACTCAGCTCATCAGCGGTCAGGGGATTTAAGGAGCAGCAGGACAACTCACCAGTGCCAGATGATACTCAGTCTTGGGTAGTTTCTAGCCCTCCTCCTGATCTTTCTGAAATATATCAGAATCTGTTTGTCTGCCCATTCCTGCCCTTCGGGCAGTTAACTTGCTCTGCCCTCCTGATCCCTCCAGGTTCCAGTCATCTATTCATATTCGCTTTCTACAATATCAACGGAACCATCATCAATATTCCAGTCCCGCCGTTTGCCCCTGATCGCCTGCTCTCCGCCACTCACCGGCCCACCTGCAGCTCCTCTGTCTCCCTGCTCAGCCAGGCCTGGCATACCCTCCCCGAAGAACCCAGATCATCCAGGAAACCGTAAGCCCTTTGCATTGCTCATCATCCTCTCACGTTGTTCCAGACTCTGACCTCTCTTCCTCTCAGAACCCCCACGGATCCATTTCCTGTCCATCGGAAGCTACCTCTACCGTACCATACAACATAAACCATTTTTACTTACCTTCCGACTCCTGGTGGTGATTCTTCATGTCGTGGGTTAAGAAATTGCCTTCAAACATGACAAAAACTGCATTTGCACAGCGCCTCAGTCAGAGGACTCAAAACCGCTTTACGCTACAGTGAATCATTCATCCATTCACACACACATTCACACACTGGTGGTGACGAGCTTCTCTGTAGCCACCGACCACCACCAGCAGTCAAGGACGATGAAATGTCTTGCTCAAGGACATGACGGTGACAGCCTAAGAGGGGTGGAAACCTGCAACCCTCCGAGAAAAGAGGCTGGCACGTAACTCCTCTGCAAACGTCTCCAAAACAACACGTCAAATCTCCACAATCTGCAGTGCACGTGTGCTCCTCGTACCTTCTTGTAGAGGGAGCGCAGGTCTCGGTACTGCCACATACTGCTGAGGACTTGAGAAGCTGCCTTTACCACTTTTGCCGAGTGTCTGAGGAGAAACGGAGAACTTGTTAGGGTTATTTCTCCTGGAGTCTAATTATCGTGACGTTGCATTGCTACTCAACAACCTGTCCTCACCACCTGCACAAGAGCCAGTTTTAGGAAGGTTACTCCCCTTAAAAGGAAATGATTTTCTTTCAGCAAAAGACGTTTATTTACATGTGTTTAAATGACCCTGAATTCCTTCCTGACACGCTGGGAACCCTGATAGAAGTGACTTTGCGTCTTTGTGCTCTCACAGCTACAGGAAGAAGCTAAAAGAGAGTCTCATTTACAGGTTTCCAGAATAAAAATCTCTTTGAAAACACTTTTACACTCGGGTGGAAGCCGTTTGAAGGAAAAACGCTGTAATGGTCTCAATTTTCCGGAACTGCGCTGCTCTGGGCGGCTGCATGTTGGAGTAGCTCTGTTGACTATAGGTAAGTTTTGCCTTTTCTTGGGCATTTTTTCTTCTAGTTTCTCAAGAAAAACAGTATTTTTTGGACACTTTACTTTTTTGTTTCTGGTGCTGTGAGGCTTGGAGGATTTTTACTGCTATTTTTTAGCTGTTTTCACTTTTTGAGCATTTGTTATGATGCGTAACCATGGCAACAAGCTGGTTTACAATCGGGAGCAGCCGATTAACATTGGAAAGACTGAAATAATACCTCAGCTGAAGCCACAAATCCCAAATGAGCTAAAACGCAAGAAGCGTGGGTGCAGAGCGGGAGCAAAACAGAAACAGAGAAAGAGGAAATTCAAACCATCTCTTCCATCGATCATAATGGGCAATGTGAGATCACTGGCCAACAAGATGGAGGAACTCCAAGCCCTGTCAAGGACTCAGCCAGAGTTTTGGCAGTTTCAGAACCGCTGGAGGAGATAATGCAAAGAAGGATTCTCCAGAGAATCAAGAAAATGATGGACAACCCTGAGCGTTCTTTTCACAAGACTGTCCAACAACGGAAGAGTGTCTTCAGTCAGAGGCTTCTTCAGTTTGGCTGCAACACTGACCGCTACTGGAGATCCTTCCTGTCAACAGCCGTTGTAATATACAACAACTCTTAGATGACTTGATTATTATTATTATTATTATTCTGAGCTACTACAGCAATCAATTTCCCTCTGGGATTAATAAAGTATTTTTGAATTGAATTGAATTGAATAGTAAATCCTTACATCTTCTGAAACTCAGTGTAGCCCACTTCCGCTCTGTGGCGTCTGGCACTAGCAGCATCAGCAGCACAAAAAGCATTACCAAATGGTTTTGATTCTTCCCAGATTAGAATGGCACACTGTTTTCACAGCAGCCACTTTGACAAGACACAGGGGGGAAAGCACAGGTGCTACGATGGCTGCTTCGGCTCTGCATAGACCTTGCCACTGGGCGTGCTTTTTCACTGCCACGGCTGACTGGGACACTTAATTATACTGAGTTATTAATGGTATTAATTCCACTAGCATTTTTCTTGCTACAGCAAATCAAAATGATTGCTTCTGACTGCAGCAATATGATGAAGTGAACGTGTTAGATGCATCCTGCTGCAGAAACGATGTTGGGGTATTTTCGGTATGAATTGGCGGTCCGACTCATGACCCCTTTGGTGTCCTATTCCTTTCAGAAGGGTTTTCAGGTGTTTTTCCTCAGCTGGTAAACATATTAGATGATATTTAACTTGACTATTGTTTTCCAACAAAAAATTGCAATAGTGGAAAATAATTACCGCTGCTGCTAATAAACACTTATCCACTGGAAGATGTTGGCGCCATTAGCCGATAACCACAGTCACCAGGAAATTTGCATTTATGGACGGCTGTGCCAGCGCCTCATTGCTCTGTGTAATGGTGCCCTGAAGCACCTTTCCCTAAATAGATAGACTCTTTCTGCCTAATAATAAATCCACGATTGACCTCCGCCTGATGACACGCGGATGTCATGGCAACGCATGGCCTGCTGGTTGCCATAGCAGCTGGGTAGAACACTCATTCTCCTTATGAGGGAAGTTTCAGTCTGACCTCAGCTCATAACAGCCAAGTTAGAAAACATTACAGAAGTTATCTTTGGTTGGCTGGGGATTGGGAAAGAACACCCATACATTAATGTAAATGCACCACATTAAGGTTTCTGCCTTCTCCAGACATGTGTTAAAAAGATAATGTAGGTATTTAATCAGAATGTAAAAAAAAAACCTATTATTTTAACTTGTTTCTCTTTTTCTTGTGTTTCTTGCTGTAAATGATGAAAATGATCTTTTCTATGGCGTCTCTCATGATAAAGATCACGAGGCGCTTCACAAGAACAAAACAATTAAAATACAAATTAAATCTGATGGTTAAATGGTTGGGGGCTGCACAGTGGTTAGAGCTGTTGCCTTGCAGCAAGAAGGTCCTGGATTCACTTCCCAGCCTGGGATCTTTCTGCATGGAGTTTGCATGTTCTCCCTGTGCATGCGTGGGTTCTCTCCGGGTACTCCGGCTTCCTCCCACAGTCCAAAAACATGACTGTTAGGTTAATTGGTCTGTCTAAATTGTTCTTAGGTGTGTGTGTGTGTGTGCATGATTGTTTGTCCTGTGTGTCTCTGTGTTGCCCTGCGATGAACTGGCCCTCTGTCCAGGTTGTACCCCGCCTGATGCCTGGAGATAGGCACCAGCTTCCCCCCGCGACCCTACATGGACAAGCTGGTTCAGAAAATGGATGGATGGTTAAATGGTTAAATTTAGAAGAAAAAAAAAGAAAAATAAAGAATTGTGATTAAAAATGCAAGGAAATTTAGTTATTTACTTATATTTTTGGAGGATAAAAACCTCTTGAGATGAAACATCTCATTTTTGGGAGAAATGGAGAGAAATGGAAAGAGAAAATGAGTAGGAAAGAGGAGAGGAAAAGCTCTCTCAAAAAGATATACGCTATAGAAAACATGAAACTGATGTCTCAATTTTGCTTTGACAGTTAATATTTTTTACATTACAAGTCCTTAAGAGAAATGTGAGGCACTCATTGCATAAGAAAATTCATATTTGATGTGATGATGCAGAACTTTCAGTGTTTAAATGTAAAAAATAGTCAAGTTTTCATTTGAAACCCTCCAAGTCTTTTTATTTTTTTACATAAATGAACCCAGGTCTTAACTTACTTGTCTCCTTTGCTGCGGGCGATGCCAATGAGTTTTTCAATGCCACCGGCGTCGCGTAAAGCTTTTGCGTTCTCCATGTTCTTGGTGATTACTTCATGCAAAGCACAGCAGATGGCAGTTACGGTATCGTCGGACATGGCCTTGCTGGGTGTGCCCGTGGTCCCAGAGGTCCCAATGCTGGTGGCGTTATTGTTGCTGCTGCTACTGCCTGGTAGCCGATGGATCAAGTCTCTCAAGGCGTATTTACCTGAAGTTTGGAGTGGAATAAACAAAATCGATAAGAAATGTTGATACTTTCTGAAAGCTTGAATAAACACAAACATGTTTGTTACAATGTTTGTTACAACCAGGTGTCTAGGGGGCCTGGGGTAACATGGAGGACGCGTGACACAAAAGAAAATTAACAAAAGTTTTATTTACTTTTCTCTTAATTCAGAAAAGATGACTATTATTATTGTTAACCACCATGGATCTAAATCCCCTTTTACCAAAACAGGTTCAAACAGTAACATAACTCTAAAGGGCACAATATCGAAGTTCTAAGTGGGAGGCAACAGACCAGAGGAAAGGCAGCTCTGCACTATTGTTCCCATTGGTGAGGAGCTCCAGCAGGTCCTTTAAACAATTTGCGGCTGATGAAAACCCAGCTCAGCTGGTGCAGGGAGGAGCAAGGGTGAGCCAACAGGCCATAGTCTGCAGGCAGGCTCCTCAGATGCAACATAAAAATGCACAGAAAAATGAAATCACAACACAAAAAGGCTCCAGCTGTAACACTTCCCCCCATAAAGCCTAAGGTCTACACCTTTGGGTACAAAAACAAACAAACAAACACTGATACATCTCATTCTCCAGGTTGGGCTAAACCAAAATCTTTTCTGTGCCTTTGCTGCCTGTCATCTTACTTAATAAGACCAAACATGTCAGTAAAGGTTAAAAAAAAGGTGAAATTAATCTGTATAAACTCCAAATCTCCTAATGCACAAATGCAGAGAAACCATTTCTTTTAATGTGACGTCTGTGAGACAAACAAAAACATCACTCTCAAAGAGTTGATGATATGGATCGAATTGACACAGAGTGGAAGCAGTTAAGACTTAAAGAGCAAGGCACCCCCTACCAGAGTCTAACTCCACTCCCACTTCATGTTTGAAAAATGCAACAAATGCTGTTGCCTGGCAGACCGAGAGGGCGGAGCCGCTAACAAATACACACACAGGCTCACCACAGCATTGTGACATCATAATGTACCAGTTTACATCATAGCATACTTCTTAGCCAATAGCGGTATCAGATTTAAATTAAAATACAGTGCAGAGTTTTTACCTGACAACGGCACAACACTGCCAGTTTTAGGCAGAATATTTAAATTTTAACTAAGATGCACTGAAGTGCCAAATTATTGATGACACGTGTCTGCAGCACGATTAGACACTCGTTTATTTAGTTCATCAGCAAAAAAAAAGTTTATTTGGGGGTGACTTGCTCTTTAATGTCAGATATGCAAAAACATGAATGCCATTAGGAAGAGGGCAGAGAAAATTGAGGGAATTATATTTGAAATGGAAGGGGCGTAAAGTGATGGGAGTGTATGTTTGAGAAGGGAAATGCTTAAAGACATTGACAAAGGCATGGAGACTAGCTAAACTCCTGCACACAGTAGGACGGGGAGTAAAATGGTCCCGTTACGTAAATCTGAATACTAGGACTGCAATCATCTCAAAAACACACCGTTTCATTCTAAATCCTCAACTTGATCAAGAGATATGGAATCAGGCAACGAGTGACTGTTATTTCCTTCAGTTTGAGTCATCGTTCATGAAATTCAAAGCGTTGCCCCATGAGAGCGAGATGAGAAGACGACTGAGGAGAGAGAGGCCAGACGGATCAGAGCAAAGAGTTAAGGAGAACAGAAGACAGCTGAGGAACTGAGCGGATGAAATATGTGATTGTGCTGACGAAGAAGGTGTGCAGCGATGAATCAAACATGAGCAGTAGCCGAAGGGGAAAGAACTGTCTTGACCATCATAAAACCTGTCGATTACACTTGAATCGCTCTCTGGAACAAAACCCGCGGGTCCTGTTTCAGGTAAAGAACAATCATTTTAGACTCAGAGGTGAGTGCTGAATAATGAATTGTGGCTGAAATGGAGTTAAAACTGGACAAAGTCTTTCCTTTAGATGCACCAGGGCGGCGCTTGCGTTCCCAAGAACATAAATGGAAACAGGTCAAACCAAATGAATTTCCACAACAGATGTGTTGCTGGGAGTGACAAAACACAGGATTCTAAAAACTGCATGCTATTTTTCATGCTCCTCGATGCAATGTTATTGGTCCTCTAAATATTATTAAAGAGCAAGTCACCCCCTACCAGATTCTAACTCCACTCCCACTTCATGTTTGAAAAATGCAATAAATGCTGTTGCCTGGCAGACCGAGAGGACGGAGCTGCTAACAAATACACACACAGGCTCACCACAGCATTGTGACATCATAATGTACCAGTTTACATCATAGCATACTTCTTAGCCAATAGCGGTGGCAGATTTAAATTAAAATACAGTGCAGAGTTTTTACCTGACAATGGCACAACACTGCCAGTTTTAGGCAGAATATTTAAATTTTAACTAAGATGCACTGAAGTGCCAAATTATTGATGACACGTGTCTGCAGCACGATTAGACACTCGTTTATTTAGTTTATCAGCAAAAAAATGTTTATTTGGGGGTGACTTGCTCTTGAAAGTGAAAGTGAAATCAGACTCATGCACCGAAGCATCGCTATATATCGCATATTATTGCCAGATGTTCTTAATCATTAATTCACCAACAGAAAAAAAACCAGTTCACACTTAATGGCTTTTAAATTTGATTGAAAACAGACTTCATAACGTATTGTAGTTACTTGTCCCAGCATTGTTGGATCACTACTGCTCCTCAGCAGTGGTGCACCACAAGGCAGCGTAATGAGTAAGTTTTTCTTCTCCCTATGGCTGCGGACTTGGACACGGCCCCAATAATTTTATTAACTCTTTTTAGGGCCAGCGTCTATATTTTGACACTTCCACTCACATAATAAATTATACCAGTGCGCCTTTTCACGGACTCTTAGAATTACGAGATTTCACTGAACTAATCATCAGAGATCAAGCTAATCACAGTTTGCACCATGGCGCCGTTTGGCCAATAGGCGCTGGTCTGTGATGTGCCAAATACTGGCGTGTCTGCAGAATCTGTAGCTGGGTTTCTTCTTGTGTTCAGAGTCAGATCTTTAAAAGCTAACAATGCTAGGTTAATGAAAGTGTCACACCACAAGGTTGACTAGCTGTGCTAAATAAGGATTTATGTGTTGTAAATGTTAAACTCATAGAAGTTGGTGAAATCTTATGGTCTTTTTAAATTTGGCCCAGCCCAGTCCAGTCTTGGTATCATCGGCTTGCCCTTGTGTTTTCAGATGTCTCCAAACACGAAGGCGGGGCAAAAGACGTGTGGAGAAGTCCTCCTTAACTTATTTAACGAAGGCGGCCATGAGCAGGGTTGCTTCTGGAGACTCTGAAATGAAGCACACTGACTCCTGCTGCCTGTGTGCTCCTTACAGCAGTGGGTCCTCGCACTGCTGCAGCTGGAGCGGTAGGTCCGAGCAGCCGTCTAAGAAGAGGTCTACGCCACTGCATCCAGACCCATAATAAATCGTGCAAGCGGGAAGCCCTGTTGGCTGATTCTACCCGCCAATCAGAGACTCCCTCTATAGGTAGGTGTGAACTTCAGCCGGCCAATCAGTCATGAGTGGGTGTGTTGGGTCAGCTCCACATGAAGCTGACCACCGGAGAGAAGGTCCAAAAAGACTGTCGGTAAGCACGGAAAACGCACAGATTACCCAGATGTGGACACAACGAACCCACCAGATCTTTTGCTACTTATATGGTTTGTCTGGATTTTTTGGCTAAATGACCTGCTTTTTGCTATCCTGAGGACCCTAAAGAAAACCCATCCCTCTTCAGACTTCCTGTTGAACGCCTTCGGCTGCACCACAGGGACAATCCTGACTGACTGTTATGGGAACTTGCAGACTAATTCCTGCATGTGGAATTCAGAGCATGCATGCAAATGCACCTACCCACACAAGAACTCCATCCGTGGCAAGCACAGTAATTGGCCAAGTGCTATCAGAGGTTGGCAGGCTCATCAGAGGTTAAGCTGCTATTGTCTCATGGCTTTAAATACAAAGTTAAAATGAATCCTAAGAGGAAGATTCGTTATGTGACCGACTTGAATCAAATGACTAATTTCCTCTCTGATTTACCAGCTGCAGACTGGGACATTTACTTGTTTTATTTAAACATCTGGCTAATTTCCAAGAGAGTGGATTATTTACTGATTGGGTGTGTGCATGGTTTACCGACTTGTTCATTTACTGACAGGCTGACTGATCTTTTTCCCTGAGAATGACTGACTAATAAAGTGAGCAACTAATTTATCAACTGACTGACTACAGGTAAAGCAGCAAACACAGATGCACAGAGAAGGCTTGAGAAATTATTAGAGCTGTAAATATTTTCTGCGTAACGACAGAATGTGCGTAGAAGTTGCCATCAGCACATTGATAAATATGCCAGCACAAGGCTGCGGGTGCACTGCCATATCCGTGCCCACTCAAGCCACAGGGGGAGGTTCATAAAGGAGTGAAAGATAAGAAAGGAAGATTCAGCACAGTAGTAGACACCCATGAGAAAGGAGAGAAAATGAAGGGAAACCCTGAAAAGGAAGAAGAGCCACTGCTGAGGTGTTTGCTATGTGAAAACCCACCAAAGCTCCAGAACAGGGACAACTCCAGAGTTTCTGATCGTTTCATTATGTTTTGAAGGTTTATTATCATCCTCAATTTAAAGATCCAAAAACATCCCTGTTACATCCACCAGTTATGCCCGGAGGCCTGGAAGGCCCCGCCGTGTGATTACAGCTCTGGTTCCGGGAGACGTTTGTTCAGGACCATGGACAGCGCCATACTAGAGCCCTGATGGACCACGGCTGTGCGTCGTTACCCTAATCAGGACGCCAACAAAAGCGGATGTGGAGGCTGAACTGGGAGACGGAGAAGGGGTGAACTGAGTCACTGGTAAACTGAGAGGAGACGAGAACTGAGGAAGGAGAGTACCTGAGAGCGAGGCACTGAGAGACTGTTCTGGTAGACGGATCGGATTAACTGGAGAAGGGCGGAGAATCTGCACTGAGACGCTGGAGTAACAAGTT